TCTCTTTTACTGGAGTAGTTTACAATGCCTCCCCTACCTGCAAAGTGGTGCCCTCTTTTAAAAGCATCTTCGGCTGCATTCCTTTAAAGGATCTCCTACGTGGCTGTCCTCTTTGGGGGCCTGAATTTGAAAACTTGGGGGGCTGAATCTGAAAACTCCGGATTGATGTTCCACCAGCCGATCGACCTCGACTTCCACCCATCAATCAATCCGATAGCTGATCTGGTTCAAGATTCCACTTCCATCAGATTAGTCCTTTCTGGCCGTTGTTGATCTTTTGCTAACTGCAGTGTGAAGCCATAAGGATCCAAGTAAGAGCCTTATTCCACCACACGCCAATTATAGCAATGACAAACGTATCTTGCCATGTTCTTCTGCACGATACATTTGTCAATTCGACAGCTGAGCTGAGGCAAGGGCCCATTTCCATCAGATTAGTCCTTTCTGGCCGTCGTTGGAAGCCGTAAGAATTCGAGTAAGATCCTCGTTCCACCACTTGCCAATTATAACAATGACGAATGTATCTTGCCATGTTCGTCTGCACAATACATTCCTCAATCCGACAGCTGAGCTGGGGGATGATCCCACTTCCATCAGATTAATCCTTTCCGGTCGTTGTTGATCTTTCGTGAACTGCAGTGGGAAGCCATAAGAATCCAAGTGAGAGCCCTGCTCCACCACTCGAGCCAATTATAGGAACGATGAATGTATCTTGCCATGTTCTTCTGCACGGTGCATTTGCTGATTTCTGCGTCTGCCGAGTGGTGGGACCTTTGCCCTGAAGAGGGACTCCAACCCGTTTCTTTCTCATTCTTCCCCGCGAACAGCATTTATGACTGATTAAACCCTACCCAGCGGTTTGTGGAGGGATCCAGGTTGGTTCATGTTCCCTCGTAGTATATACCTATTACAAGTGGATGCTGTAAGGACCCATAGTACCTACCTAACCTGAAAGGGATCTACGGTCACAATAGGAAATCACTGACAATATGGATCATCAGTAGTAGGGAAGGGGTCTACACGTCTGTGCAAACCAGATTCATTCTACGAAATCCGTAGTGACGACTCCTGTGTAGTGGATGTTGTGTCCGTCCGTCTGTAATGGGGGTTCAATCTTGTATCTTTGGACTTCAAAAAAAGTTTTTAAAATGGTGGTTTTACGCACACATTGTATACCACAATCTTGCTTCTGCATGATGTTGCAGCTAGGTTCATCTCTCTCTCTCTCTCTCTCTCTCTATATATATATATCATCATATGCCTACGGCTTACTGGGCAGTTCTGTTTGACGATAAAACAGTTTGCCACAGCCCCTCTCTTCTCCCTCTTTGCCTACGGTCAACCGGGCAGCTCTGTTTTACGACAATATATACCACGACTTTGCTAGCACCCTGCTACGGTTTTCTCCGGTCAGGTCGAGCGGCAGTGGTTGGGGCCGTCACTACGCGGCCATGCTGTGGCTCTAGTGCCAGCGGCGTGTCTGGATTGTATTTTTTGGCTGTGACAGACCTTTCTTTGTTTCGTGGGTGTTTTGCTGGCTTGGGATGGGGTGTGAACTGACAGTCTGTAGAGTTTTCCATCTGGTGTGGGTGAGTGATAGTCTGCTTTGATTTTCGTCAGGGGTACCTTGAGGGCAGTGGTTGGTGGTCCCCACCACCTCAGAGGGGTATCAGTTGTCGGGCAGTCGTTGATGCTTAACCACAGGCGGGGTTAAGGTGGATTATTGCCGCAGCCCCTCACCCGGTTTCATGTCAAGTTGATACAACTGTTGTAGGCAGAGAGGGTGATCAGGACAACAGAAGAGGGGCTGCAACGAACTGTTTCGTTGGAGTTTCACCAACTCATCAGGAGGCTGAACCCTCAACGGTCTGCAGGATCCCCTAACTGATTACGCTGTAAGCTAGGCTACCAGCCGGGCCGGCCGGGTCCCGGGTTGCCAGCCCGTGCAAGGACTAAGGAAGGTCCACCAAAAAAAAAAAAAAAAAAAAAAAAAAA